GAAAATAATACTGCAGCAGCAGTGTTGACTAGTGTGAACAAAAATAATGGAGTTACCATATACAATTCTTTCCAATCATGACATTGTATATTTTTCTGATAACAATATTTTGTGAGTATTGACTTAATTATTTAATTTTGTGAGTCATCACAAACAATTTCAATGATATTTTATAAGATCTTAGTAAAATTCATATGAGTAAATTGTTCTATTTTTATAAAGGTAATAACTAATGGGTAATTGCACTTATCTTACTATGCTTAAAATTATGAACATTTTATACTTTGTTATAAAATCATCTGTATAATTAAGTTTCATCAGTTTCTGAAAACTTCATTCCTCAAATGCAAATATCCAAATATTCATTATTTTTTTAACTCTGTATCTGCTTGAATTATTTAGATATTTTATATACTTTAACCCTTATTAGTCATTTGTCTGCTCTCAGCCACCAAAGCCTTATTATCGTTCCGGTCTCTACCACCATTCATTCAGCATTCTGAATTAATTATGAGTAGTATGACACCTATCTATCAACACCAAATTTATTTCAATCAAAAAGGGCTAATGATTATATAGTTCTGTATAGGGAATGCAATACCGGTATACCGAATTACCGGTAAACCGCCCAATTTTTCGACGGTATTTTTACCGGTATTTACCCCAAAAATACCGGTATTTTCGGTATTTTTACATAAGCGCTATTTGATACATAATACACTAAAGTTTAAATTTCTCGGAACAAATTTATCTTTAAATTTCACAATCGTATATACAGCTATATCTTGAAGTGATTCTATAAGATAAACAAATGTCAAATATTATCTCAGCTAGTCATTAAACTGAATATTTATTGCTTTACTAAGGGCTTCATATCGTGTTACAATAAATAGAATTGGACTGATATATAATGATGTTCTTTTATCTTATATAAAAATGTAACGGTTTTTTAAGTGATATTTGTACCAAAATATTTTATATCATACAGATTACCCCTGCGTAATCTTTATTTTTCTAACTTCATACATAATAATTATGATAATTACTAAATATTTTTGCTTCTAATTACAATTATAAAATATTATTTTTCGAAAACGTTTCAAAGTTTCAAAATACTAAAAAAGCATCACATTGTTTTAAATAACAATACTCAACAATTATAGTAACTTATTATTTATCTCGACGAAAGTATCTGATCTTAAATTAGTGTAGAAAATTATTTTTTTTAAATATTGGAGATTATGCTAATTTAACACATCGGATACAGACAATACAGGTTATTATAATAATTTAATATGATCTTTTATGAGTTTTTGGTCTTTCTTACTCATAAGTTTGTTTTTGGTGAAAAGTACTCAATATACTCGATAGTGATAATGAATTAATTAAATTGGATATACTTTTGTTAAATTATTATTTAAAAAAATAATCTTAGTTTATTTTATTGTTTTTATTGTTTAGTTGAATATAGTTGTAGTTGTATATACATTTTTTTATATTTGTACTAGTAACTTTCAATATTGTTTATGTTTGTTTAAGATAATAAAAATACCGGTAATTTACCAGTATTCCGGTTTTAGAATGAAAAATTACCGAAATACCGGTATTGAAATTTTCTATCGGTATTGCATTCCCTAGTTCTGTATGAATAATTTTATATTTCACATTTAGCAGGTCGTTCTTCCCCATGAATATTCCTTTTATGTCTTACTAATGATTGTATTGCTGTGAACATTTTATCACATACTCCACATTTGAGGGAACTTGCTCCGGTATGAATCATTTCATGCACTTTTAATTTCTGTTTTGTTCTGAATGCTTTATCACACATTCCGCATTTAAAAGGGCGTTCTCCAGTGTGAATCATTTCATGTCGATTTAAATCTTGTTTTGTTGTGAATGTTTTATTGCATACCGTACATACACGATCGTTTCTAGTATGGACATTTTCATGTTGTTTTAATTTTGTTTCTGTTATGAATGCTTTATTGCAGATGTTGCATTTATGTGGACGTTCTACAGTATGATTTATTAAATGTTGATTTAAATTTTGTTTTGTTGAGAATGTTCTATTGCAGATGGTACATAGATGAAAATGTTTGTTACTGTGGAATCTTTCGTGCAGTTTTAATGTGTCTTTTCTTTTGAATGTTTTATTGCATGTCACACATTTATGTGGACGTTCTTCGCTGTGTACTATTAAATGTTTTTTTAAATTAGCGAATATTGAAAAAGTTTTGCTGCATATTTCACATATGTAAATTTCCACGTTATGGATTGTTTTACATTTACCTAATCCAAATAATTTGCTCGGTTTATGGACTGAATTACTTGGCTTACTGATTTCTTCATTAGATATGGGAGATTCTACATCTTGCTTATCAATCGATTTTTGGTTTATTCCTTCCTCAACTATTACCTCAGGTTGCAATAGAGATATTTCTTCATTTTCTAGACATGTTTCTGTTATTTCAAAACCATCTATTTCTTGTTTCACTTGATTATATTCAGATGGTTCAATTTCAATTGCTGAGTTTGAATTTGTTTCGTCAGACATTTCGGCGTAAGCACAATAACAATGGCTTAAAATTTTTGAAGTAATTTAATATCTATATATTTTTTAAAATTTTCAATAAATATAATATAAATATTTATAATTGTTTTGTAAAGAGTTTGACATTTGTTTTATTGACACAAGTTGACACACACATAGATAAATAAATATGTAAACTCAGGTGTGACAACCTGACAACCATATGTACAGCAGCCTGTCACCCAGCGGCTTACAACCTTTTTTGCACCGTGCCCCCTTGCTCTAATAAAAACTAGTAGTGTATGGTATCGTGCCTTAAAGCAAATTGCTGGAAATTTCCGTACCAAAAATTAAATTTTTTACAAAAGATTATTAACTTCCCGTAGGGTAAGTTATTGTAATGGGCCGAAAATTGAAATTGAAAATTTTTACATTTCTCAACGTTTTGAAGGTTTCTGAACATTTTGGCATACCCCAGGAAAAATGGATGTGTTTGTGTATGTGTGTGTATGGATACAAATTTCCAGTCACGTTTTCGGGCGCACGGATCAACCGATTTGAATGGTTAAAAAAATATTCGATTTCTATTAATAGGGAGATGAGCTGATTAGTTTTTGGCAAAGGCAGATCCAGCAGTTACGGAGATAAAGAGCAAAAAGTGCAGAAAATAGAAATCGAGTTTTTGAGAGAACGGAGCATCCGATTTGAATGATTTAAAAAGCATTCAATTAGTAATGATTGGGAGAAGTGTCTATTAGTTTTTGGCAAAGGCAGGCCCAGCCATTTCGAAGATACGAAGCTAAATGTGTGAAAAATGGCAGTTTTGGAGAGAACTAAGCTTCCGATTTAAATGATTCAAAGAACTTTCTGCTTGTCTTAAAAAAATAATTGATGTTGGAAAAAAATGTTGTTTCAACTTTTTTTTTTCAAAAAAATTTTTTTTGTTTATCGAAAATATTTCAGATTTCATTTTTAATTTTGACTATAGCTCTAACCTTCAACAAATAATTTCAACTTTGCAATTCAGTTTATATAATTCTTATAAATATTAGACAATGTTACAATATTAACTATTATTATCTATTTGAAAACTTTTAAAATTCCTCGAACGTTTCGGGGAATTTAAATTTTTTTAAAAAGCGAGTTTTTTGGAAAAAAAACTTGATTTTTTTTTTATTTGAAAATATTTTGAAAATTTTGAACTTTTTTTCAAAGCAATCGCACTGCTTTAGCTGCATAGGGACGTACGATCGAAGCGCGTAAGCGACGCGTCGCCGTCTAACGGACAAACAATGTAACGGAACCCATAGAAATGTAAACAAAATTGATACACATTATTAAAATCACCATATAATATCTGATAGTTTGATGTGCATATGTCTAATGATCATTTTTGACCGCCAAATAGCGTTATTTTTTACTTTTTTCTACGAGATCTCCGAAACCGCTAGACCTGCCTTCCCAAAAATTCAATCAGTTCTTCACCTTGTCAATACAAATAAAATGGTTTTTGAATTATTAAAATCGAACGCTCCATTCTCTTAAAAACTGAGTTACCTTTTTTGACACTTTTTGCCCCGTATCTCCGAAACGACTGGACCTGCCTGTGCCAAAAACTAATTACCACTTTTCCCTGCCATTATGATTTCAATGTTTTTTGGATCATTCAAATCGGATGCTTAGTTCTCTCAAAAACTGCAAATTTTTGCACATTTATCTTCCTATCTCCGAAACGGTTGAACCCGTTTTTGCCAAAAACTAATCATCACTTCTCCCCATTATTGTAAATTGAATGTTTTTTGAATCATTCAAATCGGATGCTTTGTTCTATGAAAAACTCGATTTCTATTTTCCGCACTCTTTGCTCCGTATCTCCGTAACGGCTGGACCGACTTTTGCCAAAAACTGATCAGAACGTCTCTTTATTAATAGGAATCGATTGAATCATTCAAGTTGGTTGTTTTGTACGTCCGAAATCGTCAATAAAAAATTGTATCCACACATACACGCATACACATCTTCTTTTTCTAACGATAAGGTATGCCAAAATGCTCAGAAACCTTCGAAACGTAAAGATTTGCAAAAATTTTCAATTTCGATTTTTGGATAATTGCAATAACTTATATTACTCTACGGAAAGTTAACTAGTGGTGTATGGCATCATGCCTTAAGGCAAATCGCTTGTATCGTTACTTTCGGTACATAATTTTAATGCCATAACAGATAGTATAAAATATGCAAAATAATGTAGATTGTAGGAAGATTATATTATATATTGAAATAGTATAGAACACAAAAAACTGTTGTAGGTGGCTAATTGATCTAAGTAAGCGAAGCCAATAAAAAAAATTCAAGAGAGTCAGTTTTTTTCAAAAATTCTCAAAAACCTCAAACATTTCAAAGCTTTTTCAAAAAAATTAATTTTTTAAAGTACATGGTGTTGCAGCAAAGCCATGCACCTCTCTTTTTGCCAACTAATTTTACATAGAACACATAAATAAAAAAATTCTCAAAAACCAGCATTTGCTATTTTACATCATAATAACTACATATAAAAAAACGACATTTTTTCAAGATTTTTACTTATGTATAACACAGCAACACGTGATCACAGTTAGTTTATTATATCTTAAGGCACTTTTTAACAAATTCAGACAATTCATAAAATTTTCAGACAATTTGATGGAAAATCATACAATCTGCAACATTTGCAGGCATTTTAAGACAATTTATACTAGTCTTCAAAAATCTGAAAGATATATAAAACAATTAAACATTTAGTTCTACATGATTATACAATTACATACGACATGCAGAGGAACAAACCGATTTGTCACAATTGATCATATAATAATAATAATAATAAATGGAAGTCTGCCTGGAGGCAGGTCTATGGTATGAGAGCTACGGTTGGTGGCGAACTCTATGATATATAAATCTTATCTAGAATTGAACCTAAAGGTAAATTTACATGCTTCGGTTGGTGGTGACTTCTATTAAATACTGAAAGAATTACAGTTGATATAAGATCAAAGCGGTCATGTTTGCCATCTATTTATACTTGTTTATCTATTATTATATATTTATATAAATCTTATCTAGAATTGAACCTAAGAGTAAATTTACATGCTACAGTTGGTGGTGACCTCTTTGATATGCTGAAAGAAATAAAATTGATGCAACGTCAAAACGGCCTTGTTTGCAATCTACTTATGCTTGTTCATCTATGTCAGTAGCGTTGATCATATATTGTTATTAATATATTAAGTAAATAAAAGCGAATTCAAGGATTCTTTTTAAAGAACTCTTTACTAAGTATCAATCATGCGTCAATTCATGTCTTTTTAATGCAAATTGTGCTTTGAATGCTTTATTACATGTCTCACATTTAAAAAGGCGTTCTTCAGTATGCACAAATGAATGTTTTTTTAAATGTGCCGATTGTTTAAATCCCATATTGCATACCTCATACTTATATGGTCGTTCTCCTGTGTGTGTTAATAAATGTCTCGTTAAATGATGCGATAGTTTAAATGTTATTTTGCATATTCCACATTTGTGAGGGCGATCTTCCTTGTGCACTAACAAATGTCTTGTCAAGACATGTAATAGTGCAAACTTTTTATGGCAAATATCACACTCATGGTGGAGCTCTCCAGTATGGATTAGTTTGTGAGTTTTCAGCGACTCCGGCCTAATGAATCCTTTACCACATATTTCACATTTATAGAGCCTTTCCCCGGTATGTAACCTTATGTGTTGTTTCAATCTCCCCTTGTTTGAAAATGCTTTATTGCAATATTCGCATGTAGGATTTTCTTGGGTATGATGATTTACATGTATATTTAATGCCTTTTGGGTTTTGAAATTTTTCAGGCATATTTTACATTTTAAGTGTAGATCTGTGTGAGTCATTTTGTGAAACCTTAGTGCTTTTTTTTCTCTGAAGGTTTTATTACATATATCACACTGAAAAGGGCGTTCTCCAGTATGGATCCTTTCATGTACTACTAATGCTTTTTTTTCTTTGAACGTTTTATTGCATACCTCACATTTATGTAAGCGTTTTTTATTATGAACAATTTTATGTTTCTCCAAGTTTTGTTTTCTTTTAAGGAGTTGTTCTGAGTTGTATGTTTCCTGATCTAAACTTGCTTCGTTTGTGCTAGTAGTTGCATCAAGGTCATCAATAGTTTCTTGTTTTATTTCATCGTCTATTGTAACTTCAGATTTTAAAAATCGCTGTAGACAAACTTCATCATTTTCTAGCATATTCTCATAATCATCAAATTCTTGTTTCACTTGAGGATAATCATCAAATTCTTGTTCCATTTGAAAAGATTCAATTGGTTCAATTTTCATTGTTATGTTTGAATTTGTTTCTTCAGACATTTTCGGCGTTTGTTGGTTCCTATAAATAAACTAACAATGACTTCTTCAAAGTTATATGCTTTTAATATATGTATTAATTTATGTTAACAATAGCTTTCCTTAAATATAATATAATTGCTTACACACTTTGACATTTCTCTTTAATTTTTCACGTCAGCGGCGTTAAAATAACAAACCGTTAATTTCAACCGTTTCTTCGTTATTTGCAACCGTTAACGAATCAACCGTTTTATCGCAACGAAATAACTAGTTGAAAATCAACTGGTTTTACAATGGGTTGAAAGATGGTTGAAAGCATAGATAAAAGAAGAGTATATGGTTGAAAGCATGGCAATCAGGCAACCAGTTACTTCTCAACGAAATGCATATTATTCATTCGTTATCGAACGTTGCAAATGAAAAGCAATTCACCATGTGTGAAGCATAACGAAATTATAGATCAAACAGATACAGTCAAATATCTAGGTTTACATCTGGATAAAAGACTAACCTGGAAAGAACACATTAAGAAAAAGAGAAAGCAGCTTGAAGAAGCCAGAAGAAAATATTATTGGCTCCTCGGACGAAAATCAAAACTTGACACGCATAATAAAATTTACCTCTTTGTTAATTTGGACGTACGGGATACAGCCATGGGGATCAACTTCCAACTCAAATGCTTTAATAATTCAAAGATTCCAAAACAAGTTATTAAAAGAAATTTTGAAAGCACCAAAGTATGTTCCAAATTGGTTAATACACAAAGCATAGGCACTAGCACAGTTAAGGATGAAATAATTGCTTACTTACACATATATAGAAATCATAGATAAAAGAAGAGTATAGAAAAGAAGAAAGAATAGAGATCATTCGGTTCGTACTCGATCGCGAGGCGTTTTTGCAAAAGGCAATTTTGCCGTTTCGGAGGTATTGAGCGTAAAGGGTGTAAAAACGGTTATGCAGTATTTGAGAGAACGGATTATCCGATTAGATTAATTCAAAATCATTTTGCTTGCAAAAAATGCATTTACAGAGAATTTAGTAATTTTGAAAATTAAAAAAAATCAATTTTCAAAAGAAAAACAAAGTTTCAAAAATTCTAATTTTCGAATTTTTTTATCATTTTCAAACAAAAAGCTAAATTTTGAAAATTAAAAAAAAATTGATTTCATCCAATTGATTGATTGAAAAATTTAAGAATATTTTGAAAATTAAAAAAAATCGAATATTTCCAAAAATTTTCAAATTCTCAAAATAGTTGAAAAACGTTTTTTTTTAATTCCATAAAATTTTAAACAGTCTAAAAAGATTTTGAAAAAATTTCTAAATTATCAGAAAATTTCTAAATTATCAAAAAAATCTGATTTAAAAAAATTGACTCTTCTAAACGTACACATAAGTTGTTCATAAAATACGCTCATGGCCCATTTTAAGAAGCACTTATAAATTTACAGTTTGTATTTATAATGAATAATCTATTTGAAATTCTTCAAAACAATTGTTGATTATTTTCATTCCTTTTATGTTTAATTACGGTACGAGAAGTTCCAGCAATTTGCCTTAAGGCACGATGCCATGCGCCATGCGCCCCACTAGTTTTCTAATAAAAATTAATTGTAGCTTCAATAAATTTAATTTTTTTATTATACTTTTAGATCTGACAGCAATTCTGATAAAAGTGGAGAAGATTTGTCGATCGGACAGTCTCGTCTGATGCAAAATTCTGAATCGACCGTCAGTTCAGTACAATCCACTGATGATTCTTATCAAGATGATGAATTATTGCTGATGATGATGCAGAACAACAATATATTGCGCAGGTTTAAAAATAATTACTTCTCGTACATTGCAAAATGGTTATAGAACCTAGACAATATAATAATAGAAAGTCTTACATACAAGTCAAAAATCGCGCGCATTCATCTTCGACTCATTCTTAAACTTTTTGTAGTTTTTATTTATTTTTATAAAAGTTATTTTTTAGAAAGAATTATTAACTTCCCGCAGGGTAAGTTATTGTAACCGTCCAAAAATAATGTTGAAATCCAAAAAATAATTCAAAATTGAGAGTTTTTGCATATCTTTCTGTTTCAGGGTTTCTGAACATTTTTGCATACCTCAAAAAAAATGGATATATGTGCGTGTGTGTGCGTGCGTGTGTATATGTATGTTTGGATACAATATTTTGTCGACGTTTTCGGGAGTAGGTACCGCTCAACTGATTTTTAATAATTCAAATAGCAATCGATTCCTATTGATAGGGAGATGTGCTGATTAGTTTTTGGTTGGGAAAAGTCGGTCCAGCCGTTTACGAGATACAAAGTAAAGATTGCAGAAAATGGAAATTAATTATTTGAGAGAACATGGCATCCGATTTGAATGATTCTTAAAACATTCAATTCGTATTGATGAGAAGAAGAAGTGATTAATTTTTAGCAAAGACAGGCCCAGCCGTTTCAAAGATAATGAGAGATAAAAGTAAAATTGACAGTTTTTAGGACAACAAAGCATCCGATTCGAATGATTCAAAAAACATCTTACTTGTGAACAAATGATTAGTGTTTGGGAAAAGCAACAAAAAATATTTTTATTTCAAAATTTAAAAAATGTTTTATTTTTTTGAACATGCAAAAAATATATTTTTTTTAATTCAAATCAATTTTAAAATTAAAAATTCTAAACAAACATTTATATTTATATATATATAATTAATTATTTTAGAAAAGATCACAATTCATCTCAAGAATCAGAAATCGATGATGATTCTCTCATGGACAGACGTTCTGCAAAACCACAAAATTCAGAACAAGGTTCATTTGTTGGAAATGAAAGCGGAGGTAAGTCAAAATTATAGAAATAGAATCAGATAATTCCATTTGCTAATTTTATATTTTATCGATGCTTCAAGTCAATATGAATCTTTGGACATCAAGATTTAAAAAAAATATTTGAGCAATAATTTGATCTTTTGTCGCTGTTTCCAAGAACGGCTGCAGCAATTTATAAAATTTAAAAGCTATTCGATTCAATTGACGTTTAGTAGTTTTGCGCGCCGATCATCCCAGCCACTTCTCTATAATTATGAGATAAGTGCAATTTTTTTTATTCACGTTTTCGTCAAAAAAAATCTGGACCGATTTAGGTATACCTAATTCAACTAGTGGGGCGCATGGCATCGTGCCTTAAGGCAAATTGCTGGAACTTCCCGTACCAAAAATTATTTTTTTTAAAAAGATTAACATTTTTGAAAAAAAATTGCTCTGAAAAAAATAATTTTTGAGAAACTATAAACTTTTGACAAAAACTTATTTTTTTTGAAAAATAAAGACTTTTTGAAGAAAAATTTATTTTGAAATATTTTGGATATTCTGAACTTTTTTTCAAAGAAATCGTACTGCTTAACTGTATAGAGACAAAATATCAAAGCGCGTAAGCGCCTCGTCGCCATCTAACGGATAAACACTGGTACGGAACCCATAGGAATGTAAACAAAATTTATACTTATTGTCAAAATCTCTATAAAATATCTGATAATTTGATGTGCTTATGTCTGATGATCATTTTTGACCGCCAAATGGCATTTTTTTTACATTTTTTTACTAGATCTCCGAAATCGCTAGACCTACCTTCATGAAAATTTGATCAGATCTTCATCTTATTAATACAAGAAAAATGTTTTATGAATTATTCAAATCGGACGCTCCGTTCTCTTAAAAACCGAGTTACCGTTTTTGACACTTTTTGCCCCATATCTTCGGAACGGCTAGACCTACCTTGCCAAAAACTAATCAGCACGTCTCCTTGTCAATACGAATCGAATGTTTTTTGAATTATTCAAATCGCTTCATCCGTATTCCCGAAATCGTCGACGAAAATTTGTATCCGAACATACACGCACACACACATACACACACACACATACATCCATTTTTTTCTAAGATATGCCAAAATGTTCAGAAGGTTTTGAAACGTAAAGATATATAAAAATTTTCATTTTCGATGTTTTTGAGATTACTATAACTTGCCCAACGGAAGTTAAAAACTGTTCGAAACATATCAGTTTGGAGTCTATCTGATTAGTTTTTTGTAAAGATCGGTCAAACCGTTTTTTCATAATTATTTGTTTTAATGAATCTCTGCTCTGGAGGAGCTTTTGATCTGAACAAACATTCTAAAATATTATCGACTTACAATAAATACGGTTTAACTAGTTGCAAATTGCTTTTGCCTTACGGCAAGATGCAAAAACTTCCCAAGTTTCAAATAAACGACCTAGACAATGAGAATTGAGGTTTAGAAATTCTTCAAGTGGTGATGATTATTCCCATAGATAAACAAGTATAAATAGATGGCAAACACGGCCGCTTTGAAATTACATCGATTTTAAATCTTTCAGCATATCATAGATGTCGCCGCTAACCGTAGCACGTAAATTTACCCTTATGTTTAATTTTAGATAAGATATCTGATACAGAAGAAATAAATCTGATTAATTTGACTAAATGAAATGAGAACAAATTATACGCGCAAAAAATATATTTCTAACAAAATTACAAAAATGTTGTGAAAAACATATAATGAGAAAAAATTAAACATTTTTTAATTGAACATTTCAATATATAAAATTGGTACTAAGAAATGTATATACATACATTTGAATAATTATGAATGTGTACGTAACACTTCCAATTTTGTTTGGATTTCTACCCGCAGGTATATCGTCCCTCATATCTGTTCTATCAATACTATAATTATAGTATTTTAAAAATAAGCACGTTTTTTTAACTTCCCGTAGGATTACTTAAGGTAATAATTACTTTTATTGTAATGGGCCGAAAATCGGAATTGAAAATTTTTACATTTCTCGACGTTTTGAAGGTTTCTGAACATTTTGGCATACTTCAGAAAAAATGGATGTGTGTCTGTGTGTGTGTGTGTATGTATGTATGGATACAATTTTTCGCCCACGTTTTCGGGCGTACGGATCAACCGATTTGAATGGTTCAAAATACATTCGATTCCTATTGATAAGGAGATGTGCTGATTAGTTTTTGGCAAAGGCAGGTCCTGCAGTTACGGAGATAGAGAGCAAAGAGTGCAGAGCATAGAAATCGAGTTTTTGAGAGAACGGAGCATCCGATTTGAATGATTTAAAAAACATTCAATTAGCAATAATTGGGAG